AGGTAAGAAAACAAATTGTTATGAGTAACAAACCACAATTTGCCTGTAAAGAGCTTACCAAGATGAAAAATTAAAATGACGGATGCCATGTCCCGAGCCGGGGTCACCAATGTTTGGTTTTGCCTCGGATACTAGTCGGTAGCGATGATACGCAAGAGGCGTGCCAAATACGGACCGGAGGCAACTGGACCCAACTTATATTGTACAGGTTAAAAGGAATAGAGAGCGATGAGCAACGTAGAGCGCAACTTACCGAGCAGAGAAGTGTCTATGGGATGTATAGCCAGTAAAACTGATGAACCGTCGGAAGTCACAAAGACCGATTAAGTCTAATGTCGTGAAATGCTATAATAGTCAATGTATTGGGTTCATTACACTGCTGCCTTGAAGATGGACATTTTGATTATGGTCATTGTGTGGGGACCGTAATCGTCCTTTTGCTTATTCGGGTGCCCCAACCTTGTTGCAACCCCTATGCAATTATGACTTTTCCAACAAAAACCTACCTTACCCTGCATCGGTCATTGCGGATCCAGTTGCCGCAACTCATCCCTCCTTAGTTGGGTATCTCGCTGTATGGTAGTGAGGCTTCCTTGTGATGTAATAATACGCCGCTGTTATCTGTGTTTGCCGCTTCTAGTGCGGTTGTCGCGTCCAAAGTGACTATCCCCTGTACAAATGTCTGGTTTGCACTCCACAGATCACTGGTTCGGACCTACGTAGTTAGCGCTCTCCCACCTTATTTCCAGCATACACGCAATCGCTAGGGGTTTCGGTATTCCGCCTTGAAAAGTACAATGCATTTACTATGACTACTTTGCATTCTAAACCGGTATTACCTAACTAGATAGTAAATTACTTTGGGCGAAAGTAGCGCGCGTGCTCGTGCAACAGTCGGTGCCTGTTTCCGCTGCTCTCAACTCTTGCATCACCGATGCTCGTTCACTTGCAGCTAGTTGCTACATACTGATGAATAACTTGCTAACTGTTGTGGTGCCGCTGTATGTACAGCTAACCTGCTGCTATCGTGCAGCTGACCGTTTCCAGAAATGTGTTGCGGTTTCCGCTGACTATGCGGATAACCTGCCTGAAATCTGCTGTGCCGACTCCAACCAGTTCAACCCGCCACGAAAATAGAACACCAAGAAAACGGCCGGTTCGAGGGATCCGGATCCGGATTCTATTGTATGAGATCATGGTGCATTTAATAGGTTGTAGGAAACCACTAACACAACAAAATTGGAGATGCTAATAATATTAATTAATATTAATTAATTAATTAATTAATTAATATTAATAAACATAACTCAAAAGGTTCAAGTTCATGGTCCGACTTGCCATCGGTTCCTCATAGATTAGCATTTTGATCTATATTCGCGTCCGATCTGTAATTGTGTATCGATCCACTTTTGCGGCACTGCTCTCGGGTCTGAACGCTGACTCTCTGTAACAATAATTATTGCTTTCTTGTTTTGGCGCGCCTGCACTTACCGCGTTAGCGCATTTAAGTACTCCATTCGGTAACATGTCAACCCACATCTCCCCCCCTAACATCTATTTTATATATATATATATATATATATATATATATATATATATATATATATATATATATATATATATATATATATACATACATTTCATTCCGCTTTATTTGGTTTGTTCTGCCTCTCTGAATAATGTCCTATTAACTGGCCACGTTGCTTACACTAATTGCGCTTATCTTCGGTAATTCTGTTGCGTTTGTTACATTTTAAGTAACTTGTGGACATTTCTTACTTATCACGGATTTGTTGCTAACCAACTTACTTCATATGGTAATTTAGCGAAGAGTTATGCCACCATATCTGTATGCATTATTGGATTTATTTTATTTCAGCTTGTCGTTTAAAGTGAATGGCTGTTGCTTGATATCCCGGGTATGGTTGCGCTTGATGTGTATGTTGACAAGGTGCCTACCTGTCTATTACCCACTACATCGTTCATACTGGCTCCAGGAGACAGTTGGTCGTTGCTGGAGGGGACGGGGTGCACGGTTCTTGTGGCCGTGCTAGGCTCAAAGAGCGGTTCCATGCAGTCAGTGTGGAGCGGACTACGGTCCAGCCACCGCCTTGTGTGCGCTTGATTCCCAAATACAGTGTGCTTGTGTTTGCCTGTGAAGGATTGTGGGCCGGCTCCGTTGATGAAACATGGTTCCCATCCGCATGCCTTTCGGTCTTATTCCTTCGAGTTTACACTGGATATGTGGTATGTGGTTGGAGCTGTGGGTGGTGCAGCGCGAGCCATTCATGGTCTCTCTGTAGGCACAGGCGTCCTGTGGCTTGCCATATATACATATATATATATATATGTATACATATTAGTCCGTTCGTCAGGATAGAATATACGAACAGCGAGCTCATTGTTGCCCTAGTGGAGCGGCCAGCTCTTCTTTATGCGGTAGCCTCGCGGACCTCATTCACCTAATAATCAAGGTGGAACCCGTCAACCACTATATGTTGGACTACGCTCTCAGATCAAACTATCACTACCTGAGTCCTGTAGTCTATGACAACTCACAATCGTGCAAAGTAGCAGGGGACAGATTGGCATTGGCTGTCAGCAGATTCCAGCTCTGCTTTGCACTCTTATACTACATAGCTTTTTTTGACGCGCTGACGCTTGGTTGGTATCAGCTATCGTGACTTGCCAAGTCCCACTAAACTGTTCATTACTGCCATGCAAGGTAGTTTGCGACTTGGGCGTGCGACACTACGTCACCTGAACATTGTGACTTCCAAGTTTCGAAAGCCATCTAGATCACCGGATACAAATGTCATTGTTTTTATCTCACAGGATTTCGAATCCATTTTTACCAAGCATGGGTGCGTGCTATTAACGTGTCCCAATAGAGTGAAACGGCTGTCTAGCGCTTTACTCCTTTTATGCTGGGGTTTGAAAATCCTCGATTTTTCCATGAAATTCATACGTTAGGTTTAATAATGTAACAAAGCGAATTTGAAGGCACTTTTTTATCTCGTCCAGTTTTTGAGATATAAGCCGTTCCAAAAATGGATCACTAGGCAAAACAGTTGTTTTTTTCTAACGTAATATATAAAATGTTATTTTCATCTGATTATGCTTGTAATTACTGTGTGATATTCAACTGAACACTTCACATATAAGGCAGCATCCTATTTTCCACATCGCAACGTGGCGATACTATAAAGACCCACGAGTCAGGCGGAAGTGCTAAAGAGGACTGCGTTGTCGACCTTGAGGAATAAGCAAAGAATAACCGACACGTGACCGTTGTTCTGATAACGGGACACTTGGCATAAATGAATATGGAATGCTGTTCATTTCTTATAGAATCTGAAAAGTCTGACTAGCACCCTCCCGATAGGTTCCGGCGAAGTTTCACGAAAAAGCTATGCAGTTGTTCCTCAATGCTGACATGCAGGGAGCTTGGCGACAAACTTGAATTTGACTGCTCCGGCTTGGGAGGATAAGGCTAAACACGTGCTTTCTTTACAGGATCACAAACCATTATTCGTACATTTCTGGTAACGGTGTTCATATATCTGAACACTAGGTAAACGATACGCAACTAAATGCCATACTCACGATTCCGAATGTCACTACGCGAATCAGCGAACGTTTCTTTCTTGTTCACTACTCAGAGATCTAAAACAGACATCGAAACATGCTACACACTACGTGATTTCATGCTCGCGATTAATGAACAGTTGACCGTTCAAAACGATGTTCAAGTGTTGGGACAGCACGTGTATTCAGGCTGGGTGAACACCTGAATATCACCTTTTAGCCTACAGCTCCCCTCGGATCATTTTCTTCCAGCGCGAACGTCTGTCGTGTTTGTGAGAAACCGTTCAACGGCAGGTTGAAAAACCAGCAAATAGTTCGGTTTATTATGTTACGTAAACACGAAATTTTGCTCATATTTTTAGTTATTTATGCTATGGTAAGAGATGGTCATACTACTTTTTGATCTATCCCTTCTAGGGAACAACTCGCATTGTTGGGGAATACACAATTTACCTGTTTAGGGGACTAATCACCTGCTCGCTTTTGCTCAACTTCGCCACTTATGGCACTGACACGATAAGTAGTCTACACTGCAGCTTTGCGTTTAGCCCTCATGTACGGTGGTGAAACCTGGCCAGTCAGAACGTCAAACATAAAGGAGCTAGTGACTTTCGACCACCCGTATCTAATGGAAACCCCACATGAGCAGTGAGCGTGTTCGGCGTTTTAGTTGTGGCACAACAGGAATTAGTGAGCCTCTCTGCACCATTTCACGCAACAAACTCCGATGGCTGGGCCACGTGTTGCGCATGCCAACAAACCGACTCCCGTGACGTACTTTCTTTGCACTACTGGAGTCTGGGTGGAAGGAGAGGAGACCAGCCGTTAGTTTGGTCGAGATGAATGAGCGATTCCACGTCGAAATTGCCATCCAATGGTCTCTCCCGACCCCTTGGTTTTAACCCGAAAGACAAACACGTATGATTGGAGACACTTGTTGACATAGCGAAGAACCGCTTTCGATGGTATTTGTGTTGTTAGCTCCATTGTCCCTCTTCTCCCGCATAGGCTCTTCCAATCACGATTTCACCAATGTCGCATAATAAAAAAGCATTATATTGTTTGCCTTATGTTACCTCATCTTTGCTTTTATCCCTTTCGTTTTATACGTTTATCTACTCGTATTGTATTACGGCACAATAGCTGCAGTCTCTTACCTCTAGCTAACGTACATTGATGATGATATCTTCATGAAGAGTCCAAATAAAAATGGAACCGGTCATGAACTGCAGGGTTTGTAGAGAGCAGCACCGAGACACTTCCAATCAATGTGCTTTGGTCATGCTTATCGTGGTTTTCAACGTGTCATTTGATCACTCTACTCACGCTATCTATTTTTGTGTTACGTCAAGTTTAGTTTTTCAGTATAATATGGCTTCCCCTCACCTCATTTCGGTTTGTATTACCTTCAGGCTGAAAGTATAAGCGCCCAGGAGCTTGGCTGTAAGCTAATCGTTTGCATGGCTGCTGCCTCGAATGTTACCGGCATTCTAGTGGACGTGAACGCTTTCTCCAGTCTAACTCATCGATATGGTGGTCTTGCGTTCTGGGACTACGCGACCGCAGCGCCGTACGTCGAAATCGACATGAATCCCGTGGTAAATGAGTAAGCGGTCCACACATTTGCCTTTCTGACTGGTGCTCGCACAGACTAAGTGCTGTCACTTGGTATCCATTTCTTATCGTCTGCGAATACTCTTGAGGTTCCAATCCATTAACCAAACTTTTTCCGTTCCTCGCTTTTGTTTAATCCTTGGAATAGTTTCATTTGTTTGATTCCCCCTTTTTCCCTAGACAAATGAAGGCATTCAAATTTACTTGTCACTTTCAACTGCTTTTTGTCGTATGGTCTTTATATGACTTCAGTTTGAGACGACCCTAAACACCATGTTTGCCTCGTCTTTTTCATATTTGTTTCTATTATACAGTAGTAGGGCCGGTGTCGCAGTTTTCTTATTAGCACTATATGCCACATGAGTTAAGACAACTGCCGACTACGTATAGCCGTAATATGTTGCTTGGATTTTCTCGGCTCGTTTTGATCCGAATTATCACGCGACGATGAGGCGGTGTCAGCCAGGGTCGTACAAAGTAGAAAATACAGATCTACACAGCTTAGTCTCTGGGCCATTTCATTCATTATCGGTCATCATTTTGCCTAACAGTCATTTTGGTGTTCCACTACACTAAGTGCCTTGTCTTTAATCACAGATACGTACTCTGGGGTCGTTATCAAGCAAGGCGATATCATCAGCATAGTTTGGCTCAGTCGCGCGGTTGTCTGGGAGTAGCTCTACACCAGAATTCTAAAGAACTTCCAGAGCGCTCAATAGGACAGTCAATCGCAAAATTGAAGAGAACAGGGGATATGATACATCCCTGTCGTACACCGCTGGTGACGTCAAAAGGTGATGAGAGTCCGCCCTCACTCTTCCCGTGACATTGAAGTGTAGATATCGGAGGATTACTGTGTACCTTTTGGATACGCCATTCTTTTTCAGGAAACTCCATAAAGCAGACTGATCGACTGAGTCAAGTGCGGGTGCGCGCTGCTAATGAGTCTTAATCGGACGAAACGGTCGTCTAGCGCTTTTCTGGATTTGTGGTGGCTGCCTGTCTACTGCGACGAATTTTCACAAAACCCAATAAATCTCCCTACTACTCACTAATTCTCAGTAATCGCCTTAGCAGCATACATGCCACCTCGATTTGTGGCGGCTTGCAAAAGAAGTCTGCTGTGAGGGCCAGCCCTGTCCTCTGCACTTTCATAACGTGCATAACAGTGTGGGATGAGCCTCGGTATATCGCAGTTAGATATCAATCGTGGCGGTCCGCTGCGTCACCCATGGCTCAATGACATAAGGCGCTGGCTCGCAAGAGTAAGATCGTGGGTTCGAATCCGGCAGGATTCGGCGAGTGCGCGCTACTATGGTGTCCCAATAGGACGAAACGGCCGTTTAACGCTTTGATCTAATTATGCCAGAGTTTGGAAATCGTGAAACTTGGCATGAAATTCAACTGTTAAGCATACTAATGTGAAATAAGAGAATTTGAAGGCAGTTTTTATTTCATCTGGTTTTTGAGTTGTGGCGTCCCAAAAATTGATCACTAGGCAAAACAATTGTCTTTTTGTTACCTAATACATAAGATGCTGTTTTTGTCTGAATGTGCTTGTAATTACTGTATGATATTCAACTGCACACTTCACATGTAAGACAGCATCATATTCTTCACACCGAAACGTGGCGGTACTATAAAGACCCGCGAGTCATGCAGATGTGCTAAAGCGGACTGCGTTGTCGACCTTGCTGAGTAAGCGAAAAATAACCGACACGTGACCGCTGTTCTGATAACGGAACACTAGGCATGAACGGGTTAACGAGCCTGCCCTTCGCCTTAAGGACCACAAGCCTGCCCTGTAATCCGAAGGCGCGGGTTCGAGCCTGCGTAGGGACCGGCCAACCCTCGCAGTATCCTTAGCCCACGTGCTACTGGCAGTGGCTGCGCGGTAGCGAAGCATCCGTACTGCGTACCGGCCTATTGCTGATGACTTCTAACTCCGGTATTGTAGCAAGTGGAGTCTTCTGGGCTGAATCGGAACGTGTCGCGGAGCAAGTCTAACGGCATCATTTTGTGCGTTTACGACACATTTGGAGAGGAACGGGATTGTACTTGATTGGCGTGCCGGACCTAAACCCCGAAATTAACAGCAATGTTAAACGTAGCACTTTCAGTTCGACGAATGATCCGTCCTGGAGCCCTAGTAACCTGGTCGTTGCGGTAGTACTTTGCCACCACGGGTTGCTCTTTGAAGAAAATTCGGTTCAGAGCACCGTGTTTCCTGTTGAACTGCTATTCCATTTTCTAGTGTTGGTTCAGTCTGGCCGCTTAAAGCAGCGAACCTGAAGAGGCTAGTTACGTTCGACCATCGGTGCCTTCGTAATTTAGCTCACATCTGGTGCGAACACCGCGTGAGCAGCGAGCGTGTTTGACGCCTTGTTTACGGCACAGGAAAAGGAAGTGAACCGCTCAGCACCGTCATTTCACGCACCAGGCTCCGATGGCTGGGCCACGTGTTTCGCATGCCAGCCCACCGACTCCCGCGACGTGCGTTGTTTGCGCGCCGGGGGTGTGGATGGAAGAAGAGGAGGGGTGGCCAAGCGATGACTTGGTCGAGAGGAATGAAGGCCCTCCCTTCAAAGCTGGCCTCAGTTGGAGCGTCTCGGCTCCCTAGTTGGGGTCCGAAACACGATGAACACGTTTGGTTGGACACACTTGTTGATATGGCTAGGAGCCGACCTCAGTGGCGTTCGTGCTGTGAGTTTCTTTGTCCCACCCCACCCCTCTTAGCCTCCCTCCAACCACGATCTCATTAGTTAGCCTTATATAATTTTGCATAGTAATTTTTTTCGATGCACAGTAGCCGGCTTGTAGCTTACCGGAACGATGCCCATCCGTTACCGGTAGCTCAGCCGGCTTGCACCAGTTGCTTTTGTTTCCTCCTTTGTTTCTGTGTATTGCGGCACAGTAGCTGAGGTGTTCCCCGCCTCTAGCTAACGTGTATGATGATGATGATCAAGCTGTTCCTGTTATATGCTTTAAACAAGCCGAGGTCAGATCGCAATTCCTGTTGTTTCAATGCTGCAGCCGGAGATTTACTTTGAGGCTTATACTGGTATGGAGTTATCCCGGGGGCAAAAAGACAAGTCCTTGGGACCTTAGCCGTCGGTCCTTCCCCCTTCACTTTCAGTAACGCTGTCTTAAAGGTCTCCACGAATCTCTGCTTGGCCGTTCGACTGTGGATGATATGGAGGTGACCTCATGTGGGTTATGCCGTTTTGTTGCAGAAGTCCTCGAAAATCGCTGAAGTGAACTGTGTTCCATCGTCAGTCACTAACGTGCCTGGATACCTGGAGCGACTGAAAACCTGACGAAATGTCTAGATGGTTGTTAAATCAGTAGTCGATGCTACCTGCAGAACCTATGACCATTTACTGTAGACGTCAACCAGGATAAGGAAATTGTTTCCAGTAATAGGTCCTGCATAATCGGCATGGAGCCTTGACCATGATTTTCCAAGATCCGACTAATAATGGAGCTCCGCTTTCTTTGGCGACTTCGAAACAAGTGCCCCTTTCTAGCAAGAGCAGGCAAGTCCATCGACTTGGGCATCAAGAGGAAGCCAGTACACGTACCTTCAGCCCAGTGCCTTCACACAGTTTATTCCTGAGTGGAAATGCTTCAGGACCTTCGGTTGAATTTCCCTGGGAACCGCCACTCGTTCTGTAAAGGGTAGACAGCCGTCAGCAATCGACAGGGAATTTCGACTTTGATGAAACTGCTTCAGTTCATTATTTTCCACATTCTGTTGCCATTTCGACCTGTGAAAGTGGAACACTTGCTGTCGTGACGCCTATTTAACAAGCTGTTATTGGGATGACTTTAACTACATCTGCGACAACGCAACGAGCCTCATCACGGTCGAGGAGCTTGCCACTACGACGTCCACTGGCTCCTGTCAATCTTTGTCCATGAGGTCTGACGAAGCATCAGCCTGACAAATGTCCCCATTCGATTGGCTGCAAAATCGTATCTCAAAAGCATTCTGACCCACTTGTGAAGGCGATTTGCTGAGTACACGGAAATGTCCTTCTTTGAACCGAAGATAGCAAGTAGGGGCTTATGATCCGTGCCATAGGGCACTTTGCGAAATTTCCTAGTAGCCTTGACTAGGAGTCACCAATCCTTTTTCACGGCGGGCTGGATAAATGACAAAATGACTACCGCGGACAGGATTAAATTTCTACATTATTTTCAGGCCAACACGAAAACTTTGAACAAATAAAATAATAAGTAAAGCCAAGCATTCCATTTTAAACCTGAGTGAGTGTTGCGCAACCCCAAAGACACAAAAGTAATCAGCCTCTTTATTAACTAAAAATGATCAACGTGGAAGGTGTAAACGCTAGCTACTTCAGACATTATGTGCACACACCCGTTAGACACAACGCAAACTGCAAGAGGATTATAAAGATTTGTGAAACTGGTTTAAATTTCAAAATGTCGTCAATCTTTGGTTTGTGGTGGCTGCATCTAATCAACGGAATGTCTTTCAAATGTTTATCAGTCAGCCTCTTTCTATTTGTTGACTTTACATTTTACATTTTTGGGAATGTTTGCTCACCGACATAAATTGTACCGAACACTGATGCCATACCAGCGGCAAACGGTTTTAGTTCCGGAAATTCAACACAAGATAGGCGGTGGTAAAATGCACACAGTTTTCTCTCCCTTCCCTTCAACAAGTCATTTCCTTGTAAATCAACATGCTCCAATTGTAGTCCAGTTGATACAACACCAATGTTACAGTCAAACAGATTTTGGAACAAAAGCATTTTACCTTCAACCCTGTCGTGATCTGAAAAACCCTACACTTTGTCTATTCAGATCACGATTATTGCCCTCGGAAAATCAAGAGATATATTTTCGGGGGTCATCGCGCAACTCATTGAAACAGTGAAAATGAGCAAAATTTCCCCTTTTAAGTTGTGTTTCAAAAAATGACAGTTTCTTCCGTAATCCCTTGATGATTTTGTAGAAATCACA